AAATTAAAGTAAAAATGGATTAAAGATCTAAACATTAAAGCAGAGACACTAAATCTCCTGAAAGAGAAATTAGGAGGAACTCTTGAAGACACAGGGGTAGGCAAAGACTTCATGACCCTGTAACTATTTTCTTAGGCTGTTAGCTAGGAGCAGGATGGCATGGAAGATATAAGCATAGCCCCATGCAATAAAGAAGATAGAGCTCTGCTGTTTCAATAGCTACCTTCAAATCTTCAGTATTTCATAGTCAGTTTCTAATGTTAAATAGTAACTTATTTTAGAAAAGAGCAAAGAGTAATTCCTTAAAATGCTTTTAGCTGACATGTTTTTAGTAACTCCACTGTAATTGTTTTAAGAGCTTTTGTTTCAGCAGCCTAGCTCAGGGGTGCTGGTGATGAGCTACTGTAAGATAGTATGTTTCTCTTTGCCTGAACTCACCCTGAAACTCTCCATTACCCGTCGTTCTTTGTGCAGCCAGCTTAATTCTCACACAGATACCGTATCAACTCATTTTAAATCCACCTGATGAAAGGGAATGTGAGGTGTTGGAAAATGTATGATTTTCCTGTGTGTCATTAAAAAATAAAACAAAAAAGCACATGCAATTTACTCTTGGTCAGAATAAAAACAGCAAACTGGTGAGACAGCTCAGCGGACTAAGCCCCTGCTTAGGCAAGCACAGGGACCTGGTTCGATCCCCTGCACCACATGCTGCACTGGACCCTCCCCCTGGGCGGGCTGAGATAGCCACGGAGTCTAGGCATGGTGGCGCATGCCTGCAATCCCAGCACTGGGGAGCCTGAAAACAGGAGGCTCGCTACAAGTTCGAGCTGTGTAGTAAGACCCTGTACCAAATACATTAAAAACAAAAAATAGTGTTGAATGTTACAAATGGGCAAAAATTCTGTAAAAAGAACTTTTGTCTCAAAATACTTCTGTAGCTTTAAGTTGGAGATTATATTTTTGTAATAAAATATACCCTACCCAAATTTCCAGGCAGTAGTAGCAAGATATTCTACCTTGTCAATTATTTTTCATTAATTTGATGGTAACGAAGTCTAAGATTTTCTACTTTTTTTCTTTGGTGGGATGGAAGACAGGAACCACTAACTGGCATTAGGGATGAAAACAGAAGATAGGGATTCAAGTTTGGCCCTTGACTTAATTCAAAGTCAACTTTCTTCCCCATCAATGGCTAGCACGGAAAATCAATGATCACTTCTAGGACTACAGCAAAAAGTGACTCAGTACACTTTTATTAAATGTATGATTGAATAACACATTTATTCAAGCTCAAGACCTACATTTCCATTCATCTATCTCATGCCCAGACAAAGCATTCAGCCTAAGATAGACATTCTCTTTGGAGTAAAGCTTTTCTATTCTTCATTAACTACCATAAATCTCACAAAAAAAGCTGTCTTCAAAATTTAAGTCTTCATTCACTCAATAAATATTAATATCATTTGTTCCTTTTAGTGAAAATCTGTAGTACTAAACAAAACAAATGGAACAGCGGCCCTAAGCGAGGCATGGTGGAGTGTGCCTGCAGTCACAGTTTTGGTGGGAGTGGTACTTGAGCCTAGGAGTTCCGGGGTACAGTTAGCTTTGGGGATCAGGTGACTGACCTAAATCCAACATCAGTATAGTGACTTCCCATGATCAGGGCCACCAGGATTTCTATGGAAGTGGTGCTTGAGCCCAGGAGTTAGCCACCCCAGGTCAGAAATGTAGAAGGTCAAAGATGACCAACCATAAGACAAGGACAATAAAAAAAGAAACCATGTGACTTACATTCCAGTGACATAAGATAAAAGAGTGTCTTAAATAAATTTAACATGCCCGTATATGTTAGAAATAGTCAAGAAAATAGTGAATAAAGATAACAAATGTGTGTTAGAAGTTAATGAATCAGGAAAATTCACACTGCAGTGGAGGAAAATCCTTCTGGCTTGCTAAAGTATCAACTGTTTTGATTGTTGTGGGAATATATTTGAGGTGGGAGAAATGCGATTTTAAAGACAGGTGGAGACACTCTTTCAGAGTCTGAGGAAACCAAAAGCTATTGTAGGTAGAATACAGTGAGTAAATCAAAGAATTGCTAGAAAATGAAGTCAAAGAAACAAAATAGGCAAAATTGGAGGTGCACTACCAGTGCTTTCTGGGTTTTACTGTGCAAGATAAGGGACAGGAAATGACATGTGTTAACATGATCATTCAGAGACTTCTGACAGACTGAAGAGGAAAGAGTGATGCGTTAGGAAGTT